TCTGCCCTTCAAAAAATGAATTTAAAAAATGAAAAATATATTCTATATACCAGTTGTCAGTATGAATTTTGAATATTTTCCTGTGTTGTGGTTCTCCTTTTATTTTCTTGCTGGTGACGTCGAAGAGTAAAGTTTTTATTTCTGATGAAATTCAACTTATCTAATTAACTTTTATGATTTGTGTTTTTTGTCTTAAAAATATTTGCTTAAGTGCAAGATCACAACATTTTTCTCATATTTATTCTATAAATTTTATAGGTTTAGTTTTAAATTTGGGTCGGTGATCCATTTTAAGTTAATTTATCTGGTATGAAATAAGTTGGCTACTTCTCACAGACTGCCAAAAGTCACTGCCATTACAATTACTTCAGAATATATGTATTTATCAGTAGTCTCTGTTCAAAAATAGTCAAGTTATTCCTTTGTTTATAGAACATACATTTAGTTTTGCCTTTGTTGCACGGTGTAATCTAATGGGGAAATGGAGCAAGTAATTGTAGGTTTAGAACTTTTGAAAGTCAAAAAGTCTTCTTTCTCATTTTTACTTTTATCATTATTTCTTTAAATATATGAGGATTTCCTCTATTAACACTTATTGTAATTATTTCTATTTTAGCATAAAATTAAGACTCAGAAATGTTAATATTTTGTTCAGTCATACAGCTACATTATATTGATACCAGGTTTGAACTTAGTTTTTCAAATGTCAGATTTTCATTTAAGCTTGTGTGAAATGGAAGAAAGGTACAAAATATTTACAAGATAGGCAGGTAAGATAACATGGCTTAAATATTAACATTCCCTTTTATTCATAATAGATAATGTTACATATAGGAGTATCATTATCGTATTTATTATTCATTGAAGTCACATCTATTAAACATAGAAAAGTCTTATTATATATTATATGACTTTTATCCTGCTTGGAGTCCAGGACAGAATGGTTGACAGTGTGTTATCTCTCACTTGAAATAATCTGTTTTTAAACAGTCTGAATGGATGAATGTTCCTATACTTCTCTGGGAGCTCATTCACAGCCTGTTCTCAAGATAATTTGTCTTAATAGTTAATTTACCTTTCTTCAATTGTGTTGCAGGAAAAATGAATGCTTTTTTTTTTTTTTTTTTGCAGTTTCAACCATTGAAAGTTTCTAAACAGCTGTCACTCTGCCATGTTAATCTTTCTGTGGCCAGCCTTCCATGGCTCCATGGCCAGCCTTCTATGGCCAGCACTTAACCTTTCAGTTATTTATTTGGTAGATTTCTTCCATCGCTCAGAGATTTCTTTGGTTGCCTTCTGACATTTGGATTCTTTATAACATGTGATGAAATTTAAACCCCCTTTTTTGAAGATTTTATTTATTTGAGAGGTAGAGTTACAGAGAGAGAGGGGGAGAGAGAGAGAGAGGAAGGAAGGGAGGGAGAGAGAGAGAGGGAGAGGGAGAGACAGAGAGAAAGCTCTTCCATCTGCTGGGTAACTCCCCAGATGGCCACAATGGCTGGAGCTGAGCCAGTCTGAAGCCAGGAGCCAGGAGCTTCCTCAAGGTCTCTCACTATTCTATGTATTTACAAACATATTTATGAATATATATATTTATAAGTAAACTTATGTTTGAGGCAAATAAGATCAAATTACATATATTGCTATTCTTTAACTGATTTTTACTTAATGTATCCTGAAACTTTTTCAATATCAGCACATAAATAAACATCATTCTTTTAAGCAACTCTTGGTAGTGTTTTCCATTGTATGAATTTACAACTCAATTAGTTCCCTATTATGGTCATCTTAGGTTAATTCTAAAATCTAGTATTACAAACAATGTTATAATATACAAAATTACTTCAAAAATTTGTAAACAACAGAATTAAAGGCAAGTTCATTTTGATGCAAAAAAATTTTGAAATCCAGGCATAGTTTTTTAATAATATACATTTTCATGAACCTTTTGAAAATCCCACATATAATATTTACATATATATTTTGAAGATTTATTTATTTATAAGACAGAATTACAGAGACAAAGAGGGAGGAGAGAGAGAGAGAGAGAGAGAGAGAGAGAGAGAGACTCTTCCAACATCTGGCTCACTCCCCAAATGGCTACAATGGCCATGGGTCTGGATCAAGTAGAATCCAGGAGCCTGGAAATCCATCTGGGTCTCTCAGGTGGGTACAGAAGCTCAAGCATTTGGGCCATGTTCTGCTGCTTTCCCAGGCTCATTTGCAGGGAGCTGAATGGGAAGTGGAGCAACTGGAATTCCAACTAGTGCCCATATGGGGTGTTGGCATTGCAGGCAGTGGCTTAATGTGCCACAACACTGGCCCCTCATATAGGATTGGAAGTTGCTAGTAAATACAGAATCCACACATCTTCACAGCATCTTTTGTCAAAAGACCTTTGACACAAGGACAAGAAAACCCTGGAAGAAAAGTCTTTGTTATTTTTGAGCCTCCATTTACCATCTTCAATTCATTAATAGTTAGCATTCATATCCATCTTCTGGAGATATGGACAGTTTTTCCAGAGACTGCAAGTGCCATCAACATATTTAATTCAAAATCTAACCTATTGTAATAAATGAATATGTTTTATAATTCCATTATTATCGTAAGATAGAACAATCAAACTGATATTGCTGCTTGAAATTTGCTGTTATTGGAACTACTGTCAAGAGAACAGTCAGAAAAGAGTTTGTCCATTGCTTGTGCTGAGCCGTCCAATAATATTCTCTGCTTATTTCCCCAAAGGATTTGAGATAGGCTACTCTGCAAGTACAAGTGCTTCAAGACCAAACACTATCAACAGTCTAAATGACAAGAGTCTGGCTGAAAAGGGAGGAAATTATTTCCCAAGAAATCAGTTTAAGAAAGGCTCAAAACTTAGTTTTAAGTGTCTTAGTATTGAAAGTAGGGAGAGTTATAGAGCTTGATATTTTATTTTTTTAAAGATTTTATTTGAGAGGCAGAGTTGCAGATAGAGGGAGAGACAAAGAGAAAGGTCTTCCATCTACTGGTTCGCTCCCCAAATGCCACCCCCACCTCCCCAGCTGGAGGTGGGCCAATCTGAAGCCAGGAGCCAAGATATTCTTCCTGCTCTCCCATGTGGGTGCCGGGGTCCAAGTACTTGGGCCGTTTTCCACTGCTTTCCGAGACCATAAGCAGAGAGCTGGATCTGAAGAGGAGCAGCTGGGTTACAAACTGGCGCCCATATGGGATGCCGGCGCTGCAGGTGGAGGCTTAGCCTACTGCGCCAGAGCGCCAGCCACAAGTTTGCTATTTTATAACACAGAGGTTCTTAGTCCTATTAGATACAATGCTTCTTTTTATATAAACCGTTTCACAATACCTTGTTATCCTGTAATGAGGTTTATAGATAGTACATTTTATCTATTCATACCATTTAAAATGAACATAAACACATAACTGTGGTATAATCAGAAATTAAAGATAAACAATGTGAGGTGAAATAGTATGCACAAGGTCTCCAGAAGGTTCATGAAAAATGTGTGTTATCAGAAAACTGTGCATGTATTTCAAATATTTTTGTATCAAAAGAAGCATGCTTTTAACTACATTTTCCATAAAATTTTTGAAGCACCCCTATAACTTCAACATATATCCAGGTATGATTGTACTGGATGACATAATATCTCTACAAACTATATTCTTAGGAATAATAACTAAAATACAACATCTTACAAATATAGCCTAGCTCAGGGATGTTGGCTGATCAACTTTCAGCATCCTCATTGATTGTGATGATACTTTTTTTAAAAAAATGATGAACAATTATTCCTAAACAGTGACCAAGAATCATCTTCTCCCAATTTACTTGTATTGTGAATTCTGAAAAAATTAAGAGATATTGAAATTGGACAAAAAGTTTGTATTTCCTGTAAATTGGAATTTCCCCCCAAGCTAGAATGCAGCTTTTTGTTGTTGTTGTTTTGTTTTTCCTTTCATGGAAGTCTGATGGGATATTTCAAAATGGTGGAGAATGAAATAATCTTTATTGTGTAGGATTCTCTTGCACATTGCTGACAGTGTACTGTCCTTGGTCTCTGTCCACACTGTGTGTCCATAGTTCCTCCCACTTGCTGCTGTTGCTAGAACCACTTTAGCGATCAACTTTGCAGTATCTGTTAAGATTGATCACAGACATTTCTCAGAAGTCACCATTCAGCTCCTACTTACAACTAACTGTAATCAGCAATGAGTATGTACATATATCCATCAAAGGTTTTTCATGAGCAGCATTATTGCTAATAACCTCAAATGGAAGACTCAAAAGTTACTCAACACTGGAATGAATAAATACACCATTCATACAAGGGAAAAATTAGCGGCAGCAAAAAACAAATTTCTACCACAGAAACCATGGAAGAGTATCACAAACACAATGTGAGTGACAAAGTCAGCCAGAAATGAATACATACTGTATGATTTCAAAAATCCAAACACAGGAGAAGCCAATGTGTAGTATTTGTTGGGATCATGCCTGGAGGGGAAATGAGGCACATTTTTGTGGCACTGATAGCATTCCATCTCTAGACCGAATGGGGTTTCCCTGGGTGATCTTGGATAATTAGGGGCAGAGGGGAGAGTTCTGCAAGATGAGATTCGAGATGTGTATGTCATTTTCAAGTCAACAGACACCTCCGCTATTCTTCAGTCCTCCGTTTTCTAGGAGGGGAGCCCAGAAGAAACCAAACCCAAGAACCAAACCCTCAAGTAGATCCAGAAATGCAACTGTCCATCCCTCCACGCGAAAGGCGTTCCCAGATTTGTCCAACGTGAATACAAATTAGTGACCGCCTGAACTGCCAAATGTCTTTCCTGCCCCAGGTTAAGAGGAGAATGAAAACACAATTAATAATAAAAAGTTACTTCCCAACACCGTTGCCTTGGGATTCCGAGTCACCTGTCACCCGGACAACCTGGGGGCTAACCTACGTTAGTGGGCGGGGCTGAGTTCCTGCTTTGACGCCCTAGCAACCGAGAAAGCCTTTGTCGCGTCCTAGCAACGCGCGCCTCTCTCTGCTCTGCCGGGTCTTTTACTCTCCCTGGGGTCCCTCTCCTCCTCTGGGCTCCCGCCAAAACCTCTCACCCGCGTTTCTCACTGCTCGTGGGGAGGCTTGATCTTCACACTCAGCCTGAACGCGGGCCGGCTCTCGGATTTCTGTCGTGGGAGCCGCCGGAGAGACAGAACAAGGGGGACAAACAGCAAGAAAGAACACTTAAGTTTATTTAAGAAAGAAAAATAATGTAAAGAAACTCAAGATTTTGGTTATTTTTATTGTCAGGTCACATCCAAAACCCTTAGAAGAAGGGGGTGGAGAGTGGCAAAAACCATTTTTGTATAAACTGCATATAAGAAAGGAAGAGACGAGACCTGTTGAGGATCCAGCGCAGGGTCGACCCGGCACCAAAGATGTTGGACACCATCGTCCCTGCCCTGCAGGACCTGGGCAGGCAGGTGCTGCCCACGCTGCCGTCGCTGAGCCAGGAGGGTAAGCGGCATGGGGATGGGGTCCTGAGGGCTGGATCTTCATCTACTTACGGCTAAGGCTGAACACTTTTCCCCTGGCTTGGCTTGGAATAGCTAGGTTGCCTTGGCCACCAGCTGGTAATCACATCAGATCTATGCTGCTGGATGCCCAGAGTTTCTTTACTAGCTCTCCTAATCAGGACAAGGAGCCAACTGGGAGTTTAAATGAACTGAGATGATGCACACAGAGTGCTTAGCCTGGGAACTAGCAGGAAGTAAGTGCTAGCTAAAAACAGCCACTCCACGGCCGGCGCCGCGGCTCACTAGGCTAATCCTCCGCCTTGCGGTGCCGTCACACCGGGTTCTAGTCCCGGTCGGGGCGCCGGATTCTGTCCCGGTTGCCCTTCTTCCAGGCCAGCTCTCTGCCGTGGCCAGGGAGTGCAGTGGAGGATGGCCCGAGTGCTTGGGCCCTGCACCCCATGGGAGACCAGGAGAAGCACCTGGCTCCTGCCATCGGATCAGCGCGGTGCGCCGGCCGTGGCGGCCATTGGAGGGTGAACCAACGGCAAAGGAAGACCTTTCTCTCTGTCTCTCTCTCTCTCACTATCCACTCTGCCTGTCAAAAAACAACAAAAACAAACATCCACTCCCACTTCACTCACTGGTGCAGATGGCAACCCTTTGCCTATCGAGAAAACTTGTTATCCAGGGACCCTAAATAGTTCCTTTTCAGAATTCATGGGAACACATCAGTGCTTTTCTTGTCCTTGACATGTCCCAGTTTTATTAAGAGAATGAAAAGACCATAAAAAGATACTGGGTAGGCCGGCGTCGGGGTTCACTTGGCTAATCCTCCACCTGCAGCGCTGGCACATCAGGTTCTAGTCCCAGTCGGGGCACCGGATTCTGTCCCAGTTGCCCCTCTTCCAGGCCAGCTCTCTGCTGTGGCCCGGGAGTGCAGTGGAGGATGGCCTAAGTGCTTGGGCCCTGCACCCTCATGGGAGACCAGGAGAAGCATAGTGGCCATTTGGGTTGTGAACCAATGGAAAAAGGAAGACCTTTCTCTCTGTCTCTCTCTCTCTCTCTCTCACTGTCTAACTCTGCCTGTCAAAAAAAAAAAAAAAAAAAAAAAAAAAAGATACTGGGTGGAGGTTCGGAAGGGGACCTGGAGGCATCTCATAGAAAACGTCACTAGGCTTGGCTGGTAGCAAGACAAAAATCTGTTTTTAGCACATTCACCCTAAAGTGACATTGATATCTGCATGTGACAGGGGCCCTTCAGAAGAAAGGTGTTCCAGTAGTGGAAGCTATTGTTGTGCTCTAGTTACTAACTTTAAAATGTTGCCTATGTTTTATCTAAAAGACTTTAGCAGAGAAAATAAATGGGAATGGATACCTCTTCTTTCTCCTCCTCTGCATCACTCTGAATTTTTCCCATCAAAACAATTCCAAAAAAAAGCATTAAAGATGATGGTTTTATGGTTTTCAAAAATATTTTCCATGTTTATTCATTTATATATGTTCATTCATATAGGTTTTTTTTTTTTAATTTTTTGACAGAGTGGACAGTGAGAGAGAGAGACAGAGAGAAAGGTCTTCCTTTGCCGTTGGTTTACCCTCCAATGGCCGCCGCGGCTGGCGCGCTGTGGTCAGCGCACTGCGCTGATCCGATGGCAGGAGCCAGGTGCTTCTCCTGGTCTCCCATGGGGTGCAGGGCCCAAGCACCTGGGCCATCCTCCACTGCACTCCCTGGCCACAGCAGAGAGCTGGCCTGGAAGAGGGGCAACCGGGACAGAATCTGGCGCCGCAAGGCGGAGGATTAGCCTAGTGAGCCGCGGCGCCGGCCCATTCATGTAGTTTTGAATCCTACTATATGCTGAGCACTGGAGATTTGATGGCAAAATATTTAGAATGCAGTTTAGTGGGGGAAACTATACATGAATCAAATAATCATACATAAAAATATAAATTTATAACTGAGTCAAGTGCTATGAAGGAGGAGGCAAATACTGTAATAAGAACATTTTTCCCAAAAGACTATTTTAAAAGAGCAGTTTACAGTTCACAGCAAAATTAAGAGAAAGAGACAAATAAATAGTCTGGTGCATTATCCACATCATTGTGGTTCATTTGTTAAGTGATGAGCTTACACTGACACCTCATAGTGATCTAAGGTATGCAATTTACAGTAAGGTTCATTCTTGCTATTGTATATTCTGTGCCATGTGTATAACAGACAAATGTACGATGTTATGTATCATCATTATATTATACAGAGGTCCTCAGTTTCTTCCAATTCGTCTCTACCCCCAACACAGCCCTTGGCAACCACTGATCTTTTACTATCTCTATAGTTTTACCCTTTCCAGAATGTCATATAGTTGAAAATATACAGTATGTTAACTTTTAAGACTGGATTCTAGCCGGCGCCGTGGCTCAATAGGCTAATCCTCCACCTTGCGGCGCCGGCACACCGGGTTCTAGTCCCGGTCGGGGCGCCGGATTCTGTCCCGGTTGCCCCTCTTCCAGGCCAGCTCTCTGCTATGGCCAGGGAGTGCAGTGGAGGATGGCCCAGGTGCTTGGGCCCTGCACCCCATGGGAGACCAGGAAAAAGCACCTGGCTCCTGGCTCCTGCCAGGATCAGCGCGGTGCGCCGGCTGCAGCGGCGGCCATTGGAGGGTGAACCAACGGCAAAGGAAGACCTTTCTCTCTCTGTCTCTCTCTCTCACTGTCCACTCTGCCTGTCAAAAAAAAAAAAAAAAAAGACTGGATTCTTTGATTTAAATTTCCTTCATAGCTTTTCATGGCTTGATAGCTCATTTCTTTTCAGTGCTGAATAGTATTCCAGTACCAGATGGACTAGTTTATTTACCCATTTGCTTTTCAAAGGATAACTGAGTTGCTTTCAAGTTTGAACAAAGCTGTTATAAACACTTGTGTGGAGGTGTTTGTGTGGACATAGCTTTAATTTAGGTTAACACTGAGGAGAATGATTGCTAGATTGTATGGTAAGAGACCGTTTAGTTTTGTAAAAAACTACCAAACTACCTCCAAAGGGTCTGTGCCATGCAGCATTCTCAACAGCAAATTAAGTAAGAGTTCCTGTTTCGCCACATCATCACCAGCCTTTGGTGGTGTTAGTATTCTAGATTTTAGCCATTCTAATGGGGAAGTGTGGTGGTCATTGTTTTAATTTGTATTTCCTTGATCATATATCATGTGGAGCACTTTTTAATATATTTGTTTGTCATTCATATGTATTTTTGGTGACAGTCTACCATGCATGAAATGAGATAGATATCTTAAAATATTTGGTCTATCCTTGGTGAGATGGATGAAATCTTTAGATAATTTTTATTTGGATTATTTTCTTATTGTGATGTTTTATTTTTTTTAATTTTTTTATCTTTTATTTAATGAATATAAATTTCCAAAGTACGACTCATGGGTTACAATGGCTTCCCCCCCCATACCGTCCCTCCCACCCACAACCCTCCCCTTTCCCACTCCCTCTCCCCTTCCATTCACATCAAGATTCATTTTCAATTATCTTAATATACAGAAGATCAGCTTAGTATACCTTAAGTAAGTATTTCAACAGTTTGCTCCCACACAGAAACATAAAGTGAAAAATAATAGATGATTTTTTTTAAATGATGATGAAATCAGATCAGACCTATTGTCATGTTTAATCCCAGTGAGAGTCAAGTTGGGAATTGATAATTTCTTTTTTTTCTTTTTTTTTTTTTTTTTACAGAAGATCAGTTTAGTGTACATTAAGTAAAGATTTCAATCGTTTGCACCCCCATAGAAACACAAAGTGAAATATACTGTTTGAGTACTCGTTATAGCATTAAGCCTCAGTGTATAGCACGTTAAGCACAGAGATCCTACATGAGGAGTAAGTGCACAGTGACTCCTGTTGTTGACTTTACAAATTGACACTCCTGTTTATGGCATCAGTAATCTCCCTATGCACCAGTCACGAGTTTCCAAGGCTATGGAAGCCCCTTGAGTTCTCCGACTCTTATGTTGTTTAGACAAGGTCATAGTCAAAGTGGAGGTTCTCTCCTCCCTTCAGAGAAAGGTACCTCCCTCTTTGAAGACCTGTTCTTTCCACTGGGATCTCACTCACAGAGATCTTTTTGCCAGAGTGTCTTGGCTTTCCATGCCTGAAATACTCTCATGGGCTTTTCAGCCAGATCCGAGTGCCTTTAGGGCTGATTCTGAGGCCAGAGTGCTATTTAGGACATCCGCCATTCTATGAGTCTGCTGAGTATCTCACTTCCCATGTTGGATCACTCTCCCCTTTATTTATTCTATCGGTTGGTGTTAGCAGATACTAGACTTGTTTATGTGCTCCCTTTGACTCTTAGTCCTTTCATTATGATCAATTGTGAACTGAAATTGATCACTTGGAGTAGTGAGATGGCATTGGCACATGCCACCTTGATGGGATTGAATTGGAATCCCCTGGTATGTTTCCAACTCTACCAATTGGGGCAAGTCAGCCCGAGCATGCCCCAAATTATACATCTCTTCCCTCTCTTATTCCCACTCTTATGTTTAACAGGGATCACATTTCAGTTAATTTTCAACACTTAAGAATAACTGTGTGATAATTACAGAATTAAACCAGTCATATTAAGTAGAACAGACAAAAAAAAATACTATGAGGGATAATGTATTAAGTTGTCCATTAGCAGTCAGGTCTATGCTGATCAAGTCACCATTTCTCATAGTGTCCATTTCACTTCAGGAGGTTTCCTTTTAGGTGTTCAGTCAGTTGTCACCGATCAGGGAGAACATATGGTACTTGTCCCTTTGGGACTGGCTTACTTCACTCAGCATGATGTGTTCCAGATTCCTCCATTTTGTTGCAAATGACTGGATTTCGTTGTTTCTTACTGCGGTATAGTACTCTAAAGAATACATATCCCATAATTTCTTTATCCAGTCTACCATTGATGGGCATTTAGGTTGGTTCCAGGTCTTGGCTATTGTGAATTGTGCTGCAATAAA